TCTATTTGTGGTTCTATACCCTTTTTCTTTTTTTATGCCTGAAATTGACATATCCTTTGCTGGTCAGTCTCTTTTCTTTTTTTAAAGAATTATTTTTGATTTTTAATCTGATATATTCTGTTTTAATGTCTGCTGCTTCCTTTCTCGTACCTTATTGCTTCATAATCTAGTTTTTGACCACCTCCTTGAATGTATTTCCTAGAGCTCAATATTTCTTCCTTGCTTTGGCCTTACCACATGCTATGCTGCAGCTATTCAAACTACTCGTAGGCTCCTACATTATATTCTTGCAATTCTTTCTCTTTCTGGCAATGTCTTTCTCGTCCTGGCAATCTCTGTTCATTCTTCAAGGATTCAGATCAAGAAGATTTTTGTTCAAAGTGGAATAATGAACAGTATTGATACCTCTTCCATCTCCAGACTCCTGAAATTGCTGAATAAAATACCATTCTGAGGTGTTATATTAATACTAATGGGTACCAAGTCTCAAAGTGAAAAGAAAAGAAGAGAGAAACCATAGCCATAGCAGGAAATAAATAGGTATATAGCCTTTGGGGTCAGACTGTATTTGAGTACATGGTCTGCTTCCTACTAGCTACTTGACCTTGACCAATTCAGGAAACCTCTTGAAGGTTGCAGGTCCTCAACTGCAAAAAGGAGGTAATACTTTGATACCTCAGTTGTTAGAAGTTGTTGATACCTAGAGTTGTTGGAAAATCAAATAATATAATAGATAGTATTTAGAATAGTGGGTGGGATATAAAAGCCCTCAATAAATATTAGCTACTTATTATAATTATTGGTATTCTTATTAGTTTCGAAGAGGACTATGGTTGGGATTATCACTATATTGATCTTTTCATTGTCATCTTGGTTTTTTAAAAATAAATCTTTTCTGATGGAGAAGGTGTTTCAGCTCTACTCACTTTCTCATGACTAGATCACAGTTTTATTTTATTTATCATGTATTCTTCTAGGTTTGTGTCTTGAGGTATACTTCTTCATTTTAGTATAGGTGAAATCTTGTATTTTTTACTTTTTATTTATTTCAATGATGGTGATGGTAAACACTTCTTAAAATTGTGCCTCATGTTCTTCTGTTAGATTAAGTTCTTAGAGGCTAGAGATTTTTCTTTTTTCTTTTATACTTCTTTTAATGCTGGATAACATGTTAATGAATTTAATTATGTCTTAATGTAAGTCATCTAGTGTTTAGTCTAAAGCTTTTGTAATAGTTAAATTTAAAAGCTCTTAGTAAACTATTTTTATTTTTTACTTTTTAATGGACTTCTAAAAAATATTTTCTTTTAAGCCAACTTTAGTGGTAATAGGTAGTATTTATATTATTAACCTTCTCCTTTTTCACTCTTATAGTTTGGAAATTTTAGCGTTCAGATGCCAGGAATGCAGATGCAAATGGGACAGCCAGTGCCAGGAGTAGGTCCAGACATGCTCCCTGGTGGGTACCCTGGGTACCCAGCATATTCAGCCGGTTATTCCTCAGATGCTGAACCCATGTGGACTTACTTCACTGCTGTTGCTGGACAGGTGAGATGCTTAATTTATTGCACAAATAGTAATTTTTAAAAATTACTGTTATTTAAAAGAAACGTCAATTATTTTACTTAGTGTATCATTTTAAATAAACTAT